TAAATAAAGTTTATTATTATTATTATTATTATTTGGTTATCATTTTTGGAGCAGAGGCCGACGAGTACAATGTAGTTTCTCTTGTCAATTGAAATGGAATTCTGCCTTGTGCTTTTAGGAGCCATGGTTGGTATCCCACCGGTCGGCGTAGAAGCTGCGGCACAGAGTGTACCATTCAATAACCCACGAGGACAATTTTGGGGTAAGTTGGGCTGATTTGATCAAACATTATGCTTTAGTTTTTCCTTAATTCATATATATTTTACTCCTTTCTTAATGATGTTGACGTTTTATCTTCAGCAATTCCTATGGTTATCTTCCCATTAATCCTTGGCTTATCGCTCCTTGGACTTTTGTTGCGATTCTTTCCTTGTGGAAGGTAAGTTGTAACCGAAAATCAAATAAACAGACGGCGCAGTACAGTTACCCTTTGTACATTAAGCTAAAATTACTGACTTTTTTCATAGGGGAGGAGGTAGCGGCAAAGGTCAAGAAAGTCTGTTACAATCATGGCAAAACCCTCCAGCCTTTAATCCCTACAATGAGGTTCAAACCGTGTCAATAGAGTTTGGAGAAGAGAATGCTCCTGGTGCAGGTGGAATGCATGCTCTCACAGTAATGGCACCGTAAGTATCATGATTCTAATACATTTTGTTCGTATTTGTAAATACAGCCGTGTTCATTGAATACGAAATTTAAAAAACTAATTATATTTGAAAGCAACTTACACTAAATCTTGCTTTACGTTTTAGTGGTGGAGGAGGTGGTGGATTTGCAGCCGGTGGCGCAGCTGGAGCCTTTGGAGCAGGAGGAGGAGCAGCAGCAGCAGGAGGAGGAGCCGGCGGAGCAGGTGCTGGAGCGGGAGCAGGATTCGGTGCCGGAGGTGGAGGTGGAGGTGGAGGCGGAGGTGGAGGTGGAGGCGGAGGAGTCTCATACGGGTATTCCTACTTCGAGTCATCGCAGGTTTCTTCATCATCCATGTTCCAAGATATGCCATTACAGGCCGGAATGACAGAAGTGGACGTAGCGTAAGTACATTGAAATATTTGACCACCTGTATAAGTTTAGACGCTATTTATATTAGAAAACTCTTACATCTAAGTTACTACTAGCTCACTCATTATCTTTGTCTTATTTCCAGGTTTGATATTGAAGAAGGCGCAGGAGGTGGAGGGGGTGGTGCAGGAGCAGCGGACGTATTGCTAGCCGGAGGAGGAGGTGGCGGTGGAGGTGGTGCTTCGTATTCGTCTTTCGAAGCAATGAGCTCTTCTTCAACAGTTTTAGGAGGAGGAGGAATGGGAGGAGGAGGAGGCGGAGCAGCTGGTGGAGGAGGAATTGGAGCTGGTGGAGGAGGAATGAGTGCCGGTGGTGGTGGAGGCATGGCTGGAGGAATGGAAGGAGCATCAGCCATGAGCAGTGCGGGAGGTGGAGGCATGGGCGCTGGTGCAGGTGGCATGGCAGGAGGAGCAGGAGGAGGAGGAGCAGCAGGAGGAGGAGCAGCAGGAGGAGGAGCAGCAGGAGGAGGAGCAGCAGGAGGATCGGGCGGTACCTTTGAAAATGATGACGACGACTCAAACCTGTTTAGCGAAAGTAACAGAGTAAGTAGTTCAACTTTATTTATTTTTAATGAAAAGACTAGGGGTTTTTGTTCCGTTTCAGGGTATTCTTAATAGGATTTCTCCCAACGTCATATTCTATTTTTTCATTGTCTGATAACATTTTAAATTACTTTTTTAATGACGTAATCAACGCAAAAGCTTCAATATAGCATCCACTGATCACAAATCAAGTTTTAGTTTTACCAATGCTTTGAGTTCTAGTTAATTATTCATTTTAAATAATTCTTGCCACCTCTTTATTTATTTTTAGATATTTTCATTTGATCGACAATACGTACCAAGTAGCTCCAAAACCTAAATGGACGTCGTGCACAGGAAAGGAAACGTGCGATCATAACCTGCATTATATCAATATACATATATAATCGTAAAATCAGCAATTAATTTTCGCTATGCTTGTATCATTTAAGTAATTTTCAAGTAGCTTCTACTTTACTACTGTCGATAAATAATTTCATGCTTAAATCACCGATGTTTTTGTTAGCAAATAATTTATGTGTAAATATATTGTTTATACGTTAACGGCCATAAGGTCTAAGCCAATAAGAAATATTCACTATGCATGCATTTTCCTGGTTTTCTCGTGGTCAAAAATAAGAAAAGGAATCGATTTATGAATAGAGTTACAGAACCTTTATGGTATAAGAAAGATAAAGAAAGACAGGGGTTTTAACCAATGGAAAAATGTTGATCACACAAAAGCACAGTTTCAAAGATATATTTTATTACTGCACGTATATTAACTGATGTACCATTGTTTTCATAGCCACAACTCTGGTTGAACTTAACAAAAATTTGCTTTTAGTCTTCTTTGTTATATCAATCGACCAGCATATTTTTATTCAATTTTTTTGACAATTATTACAAATCATTTACACCCAAAAAAATGCAGGGCATTGCTTTGTATGCTTTTAGTTGAACTATTAAGCAAGCACCAGATTATTCCACAATCCAAAATATGTAACATTTCCTATATCACATATCACATTGTTTTTGCTATATCAAAAGACGTTCTTGTTTGAAGATTGTTACCAAAAGAATTGTGAAGACTAACTGTTTAAAATTTAAAATTCAAAACGGCCGGATAATTTGCAAAGGTAGTGACTTCGTAGCACACTATCTATTTCGGTCTCAGATATAGAATTTACGACGACCGACAACGTTTTTTGAAGTAGGTGTACGTGAATAAAGCACGCAAAAATATATAATGTTATAAGTGTCAAAAAAAATTATTATTTGAATTAATAAAAAAATCATGAACCATTTTCTTCCTTTGTATAATTTAATATTAATCCAATTTATGAATTGTATTTATTAAAGATAACTTTAATTACTATTTATAAAGATAAATATTACATTTTCTAACTAAAATGCATTACCTATAAAACCATGGTTTTGATCCATTATATACCTTTTTACAACGTTTTTTGATAATTAGGATTTACTTATGACAAATTCAAATACCAATTCTACCTCCTCATTTGCATATTCGAGATCCCGTGAGAGATAGCGCATGCGTAGTGAAGTTCATCTTGCGTTTGCGTTCAGTGAAGAAAAGTCCACGTTTTGTTTCGGAAAAGATTTTAAGAAGAACCACGATTTTCTTAGAGAAATAGGTGTCTACCGACTTCCATCGTCCCGAGGGAACTCTCAGTTCGTGTTTTGGCAAGAACTTCT